TTTCATTGACTTGCTCGTAATTAAAATATGTAGCATTTGTGATTGTGTACTATTTTGTTTGACTTGACTTGTGCCTGTTACCACTCGTAGAGGAGCATAGCTCAATTATTATTATTCTCTATCCAGCTATGTCTTGGATAATCCTTTCTAGTTTTTATTCATCTTTTTCATGTCTGTTTCCAATTCCCGACATCGTGTATTTTCTGGTCTTCCTCTTTTCAGTTTCCCTTCACGATTCCAAGTTAGGGCTTGCATCGTGATGCACTTTGATGATTTCCTCAATATATGTCCTATTCACTTCCAACGTCTTTTCCTCTTTAGCTGGAAGTTGGTTTTCCCTCTCCCACAGTAGGCTGCTGCTGATGGTATTCGACCAACGGATATTGTGTATGTTGAGTAGACAGCTATTTACAAATACTTGTGCCTTTTTAATGATGGTTGTAGTAGTTCTTGAAGTTTCAGCTTCATCCAGTAGAACTGTCTTAACGTTCATATTGAAGATAATATTTAGCTACTGATTGTAAATTTCATTGGGACGAAATACGTTTTAATAACGTTTACTATTCAAATGAATCATAAACTAATGTTTATTTATAAATGTATAGTGAAACTAAGAAAGTTCTATTTTTAAATCGTCATCATAAATTATTTATGGACTAAAACGTTCTCAAAAAAGGAAAGAAACATTAGATGGATCACTAATTCGAGATTATTAATGGCGCAAATTACAAATTTTGAATCTAGAAAATTTTATTCTTAGATATTAATTCACTCAAATCCCATTTTTATCCTCCAGAAAATTTATTATTATTGATTGAAATGTATACATATGTTGTGTGTTGTTTTACTTGTATCTTCTCATTGTTGTTTAGAACAATAATTGATCAGTCTCATATTGGAAAATGGGCATCCTGTACAAATTACCATGATATAGCCCCTTAAGTCACAAACTATTGTTACGTTAGCATAATACACAATGGTTTTAAAATAAAAAAATTACTTTGTTTTGGTGCAATCTTGATAACCGTTAAAAAAATTTTTTTAATACCTTATAGAGTATGAATCAATGAACACTAAATAAGGACTTGACACGCATGACATTGATCACATCTCAGTCCTACAGATGGTCAGTCGCGGCCCGGATAGCTCAGTGGTAACGTCTCTGACTATGAAGCTGGGTGACACGAGACCGAACCCGCCAGGGAGCACCAGTTCCCTCCAAATTACAGGCACACCTTACTGACGAGTGCCAAATAGCACGAAACCCAGGTCCAGGGTTTCCTGTTGACTACCTCCAACCACCATCTACTTTCCAAGTTATATTTATCATTAGGTTTTATAAAGCATACTGTTTTAGCTAATCTTAATTAGTTTGTTTTACGGACTATATATATACGTAATATGTCAATCAAATAATGTATTATACAATTAAAGTAATAGTCTTTTTATTCTGTTAATGAAGTATAATTTAATATAGTACCAAATAAATGCTATTAAAGTACTACTGAATGCTACTGAATAAAATTTTATTTTATTTCTAAATATAACCCAACCATTTGAATTAACTCATATTAAAATAACCCATTGGGTCATTGAATAAGAAATAGAGAATTTAGTGAAGAAAATTTTCTTTTCGATGAAATCATTTTTACTTTGATAATGATATTAGAAGACGAAGATTATCAGAACTATGTGATATATTAGCACAATACATTTCGAACAATCTGATCACACATATACTTGTTAAGAGCATTTATATATAAAAACAAAAGGTCAACTAGACTGGAAACTGGGTACTACCGTTGTACATTCATATATTTATAGTTATATGGAAAATATATGTCTATGAAAGGATAGAAAAGATTGCTATCAGAAGGGGTTTTGTGGAGATTGTAGTAAGTTCAACAGTTGAGATCATGGTGGTCTAGCTTCAATTGACTCATGATCTCAACTGTAGAAAAGATTGCACCATTAATTGATTTAAGACTAAATATCAAAATGAAATTACACAATAATCAATTGGTAAGGAAGAAATATAAAGATGAAAATAATTTACTATTCAAAAAAGAATCTAAATCCTTTAATGATATTTAATAATGATTTCAATTTATAGACTAATGGAAATTCAACAAAAACATGATCCATGTAAAAGTCATTTAAATTGAGCATCTATCGACAGATCGACAATTTGAAAATCTCTATGATCAATTGAACTTTCTTGTTCCAACCACCCTAGATAAGAAAAATCATTTAGTTTCACTGGAATATACGGGAAATTAAATTTAGTGATCTACTCAGTTATCCTTAATATTAGTACTCATCAATAATCAATATCTTTAGTCTCTAAGGAACTAATTCAATCAAACAATAAAGAAATAATCGAAATAATTAAAAACAAAAAATAATACATAATTATCTTTTATAAACTATAGTACAGTACTAGGTTACTCATTCTAACGATATCTTTAAGTGATCTCAACTAATTACAATATGTATTTCATGTATGGTGAAAATAAATTTTTTGATTGAGATACTTGTCTCTACCAGATACGGATTAGCTCCACTGGTCACGGGATCATGCGTACTACTGAGAAGTCCCATAATAGAACGAAACGACCGTTCAGTGCTTCCAGGTTTCCAACGGTGGTCTAATATCAGTCGGTTCATGATCTCAATCAAAAACATAATCATCTTCACAACCCTTGTACTGAAAATAAACCTATCAGAATTTTATTTCACTTCATTTATGTGAAAATTATTTATTTTATCATTCAAAGAATAACAAATAATAATAATAGTAACGAATAAATCAACATTCAATCAATTTCATTAAGTTCTATATGTAGTTAATAATATTTACACAGATAGAAAGGTGTTTTTACAAATAAGTTCATCTTTGTACAATATGTGAATACGTTTATCCTTTATTGATTACTTCATGTATAGAAGCAAAACAGTTTTATTAGGTACCATTACGAAGGTTTGACTTGATAATTTTGAATAAATTGAACATCGGGTAAATTGTTATGAATAAATTCATAGATCTGTAATATCCCAATAGGTAGGGAAATTAGATTTTCCGACGTTTCGTGACTTAGTGCAAGCTACTTCTTCAGAAAATAAATAACCAAATCAAAATTAGTCCAAGTTTAAATGGAACATCGGAACAACACAAGAATATTATGTGATCAATCAAAAAGCAGGTGTGAGCAAATCAATGTCATGCCATTTCGGTCAAGGTGATTCATAAGCAAAATGTATGTAAATGAGTGTGTATGTATGTGTGCACTGTTAAGGATAAAAATTGTGTGACCTTTATGGTGAGAGAGGATAATAGTGTGAATTGTGAATAATATCAGAGCAGGTGGCTAGGGTAGATAGTTGTTGTTTTGTTAGTGTTCCATAGTATTATTTAAACTTGGATAATTTTTAATTTTCAGAACGAGTTTTGTGGAGATTTTGGTAATTTTAATAGTTGAGATCGTGAGTCAATTGAAGCTAGATCACTAGTGGAGTTCGATTGAGTCTGTTGTGGGATAGTAACACACTGACGACAATGGTGGATGTGTCTCTCAATTTCGTAGATTGGTTGAAGTTAGACATCAACACCGTCGGATGACGGCCAGCTCAGTGGTCTATTGGTTAAGCGCTCATGTGCGAGAATGATAGGTCCTGGGTACGAATCTCGCGATGCAAGATCGTGGATGCGCACTGCTGACAAAACGGCCGTTCAGTGCTTCCAGGTTTTCAATGATAGTCTAGCTTCAATTGATTCATGATTTCAATTATTGAAAGTTTTGATTTGATTAGTTATTCTCTGTAAGAAGTGGTTTACAAGAAGTCATGAAACGTTAGAAAATCAAATTTTTCTACTCATTGAGATATTACAAATATATTAATTTATTTAAAACAGTTTTCTTATATGTAAAAAATTATGTTTGAAATAATCTAAGCTTTTTAAATTTAAATAATAACTCCAAAGTTTCATCCAGCTAACTTGTCTGAACTTCTTCAGGGTAATAATCAAAATCGTTAAAGAAATATATAGCTTTTTATTTTTCATGGGGTTTTGGTCTCTGAGCTGAATGGTTTTGTCGTGGAGCTTTCATCGTTCTTCTGAACAACATCATCAGCACAAACTTCAAGTAGAAATAAGGTGTTCGAATTTCTCCACATGTGGTTCACAGCATGTTCTGTACACCTCGATGTCGATTGGTTCTTGTTGACCTTAAAACTGTCATTGTTTACTTCTTTGTTTTGGTTGTATCTCCCATCAAAATTAAGTTGTACAGGAAAAGCTGTGAACCACATGTGGAGAATTTCAAACACTTCACTTCTAATTGAAATTTATGCTGATGATGTTTTTCAGAAGAACCATAAAAGCTCGAAGACCAAATCATCCAGTTCAGAGAACAAAACTCCATCAAAATCATCCACCTTAGCTACAAATCTTCCCCACCATCTCAATATAACTTTTTAACATTCATAACTGTACTGTGTGTGCCAAAAAAAGAGATGAAAATTATGGTTAATGATAAAACCATCATTGAAATTATGTATGAACAATTTAGTGTTAATGCAAAAAAGAAAATAAGAAAACGAAGAAAACAATCATTTTATAGAAAAAAAAATTAGTGAACGAAATGATTACTGTAAATCATGTATTAATTTGCACTTTATAAAGCAATTCAGTTCCTTTGTAACTAAGTATGTGTTTTTTTGTTAAAAAAAAAGAGAAAAAAAAAGAATAATAATCATACATTTTTGTTTTTTCTCTCACAAGTTTTTTTTCTTTTTATTTAGGTATATTCAGTAAAACGATGATAAATAAATGAAATAGGAACCTTTCTTTTTTTGTTTTTTTTTATATTTTTTGAAAGACAACTTTGACCTAATTCGCTTACATTCAACGATAAGTTCATTCATCTAAATCTTCCTCTATGTTATTTTCATCAATTATTATTTTTCTTTCTTTTTTTTTAATTTTATTTAATTTTTAGGTAAATTCAAAAGTTTAACTTGTCAGGTAGATAAATAAAAGCAAGCAAACAAAGAAACAAAAGAAACGTTTTCCCAAGGAATGAAATAAATAAAAGAGAATTCTTTCAGTAATAATAATAAATGTAAGTTATTTAATAAGTAGTAATAATAATAATCACTTTTTAATTAAATCATATGAAATAGGTCAAAATAAATGGATACATTATTGAAATATTATAGATAGTTCAATGTATAGGTTAACATTTTAGTAGCATGATTTATGCTTAAATATCATTATAATTATAAAGGTGAATGTATTCCAGTATATATGAATTTATATAACCTATGGTACTTACAATTACCTTGGTGATTAAATACAAAATTTCTATAATCGATTTGTTTTCAAACCATTTGATGAAGATTATTCTTTTTTTTACTACTGTTGAAATATTTAATATTAGATAATATTCCTTACTTACTTACTTACGCCTGTTACTCATAATGGAGCATAGGCCGCCAACCAGCATTCTCTAACCCACTCTGTTCTGGGTCTTCTTTTCTAATTCCATCCAATTCTTGTTCATTCTTCTCATGCCCATCTCCATTTCTCGGAGTAATGTGTTCTTTGGTCTTCTTCTTCTACTTTGGCCTTGAGGATTCCATGTGAGGGCTTGTTTTGTGACGCAGTTAGGTGCTTTTCTCAATGTGTGTCCTATCCACTTCCAACGCTTCTTCCTGATTTCTTCCTCCGCTGGGATCTGGTTTGTTCTTTCTCACAGTTGGTTGTTGCTAATAGTGTCCGGCCAACGGATCCGAAGTATTTTGTGTAGACAACTGTTAATACACGCTTGTATCTTCTGGATGATCTCTTTTGTAGTTCTCCAGGTTTCCGCCCCATACAGTAGAACTGTCTTGACACTTGTATTGAAAATCCTGACCTTGGTGTTGACAGTTGACAGAGAGTTGTTTTGAGTTGCAGATGTTCTTCATTTGTAGATATGCTGCTATTGCTTTACCGACCCGCGCTTTCACATCTGCATCAGATCCACCATGTTCATCAATAATGCTGATTAAATAACATTAATATATGAATATTTATTATGTAAAATTAAATTATTTTGTTTTACAAATAATAATAGATATTGTACATTTATATTACGACCCGGTTACCAAGCTCAGGTTTATTATAAATTCAGGTATTTTGGAAGTGCTTTTTTGTATTGGTTAATGATATTATCCAACTGTACGAAACAATGTAGATTAAGCATCGCTAGTAACAGTACATAAAATATAACAAACTGATTTTTTCCACGAAGAAAAAAACAAGGAAAGCAAGTTGAAATACTGTATTTTTTTAATCGTGGTATATTACTTTTGAAATGTTATCTTAATTTTTCATAACAACACATTTATACAACTGATTGATCATTAAGTAGTAACTAATTCCATACTTGTTTACCATTTTATAGAGACGATCGAAGTCTGCTGATTAGTTTGCAATAAGGCAACTCGTCTGATTGACTCGACATAGGGTTAGGTGATTCAAAGTATCCGAGTGTAAAATCACGAGCCAGATTTTATACTAATCGGCACTCATCAGAATGCTGTGCTTGTAATCATGAAGTAAACAGGTTGAACTTTATAGGAAGCACTAGTCAAATCTTACTGATTATTCCTAAATAATACGAAACCAGACCACCGGTGGTTGACACTAACCTCCAAATTTATATATGTCACATTAAATGCTTTTTACAATTCTTCACATTGAAATCTCTCTATAAATAGATTTTCATAAGTCCCATCAGCTTTCTCCCTCATAACTTAATAATAGCGTCTTATATTGTCTTTAAACTAAAAAATGACATAACGTAATCTAAGTATAGTACGTTGTTCTTAGTAGAAACCTTCAAAAAACTAAGTTGGTAATAAACATTTTTAGTTTCAGTTAAGTCCCAAAGTTTCGAAGTCGTCATCAGTTATCATCCTGGACAACTATCCTAATCTCGACATGGTTGTATTCTATTTGAAAAGTTATAGTTCTATAGTTCTATCAATAAGTCTCATAATACAGCCAAATATCTGTCTAATGGTTGTTTAATTTGTCAGTGCATTATGTAAATACGGATGTCATTATTGATATATTCAGTTATCATAACACATTCACAAATGAATATTTCATTGCTAACATTAGAATCTTTCACTTACAGACTGAATAACGAACTATGTGCAGGCACTATATTTAAACATTTTAGAAATTGTAATGAAAATCTGCTATCTTTACCGACATTTTGTCTTGTTCTAAAGGATAAATATATTTAATGCTACTTACTTATTACATACGCCTGTTACTCATAATGGACTATACCCCACCGATCAGCATTCTCCAACCCACTCTGTCATGGAACTTCCTTTCTAGTTCCATCCAATTGTTGTTCATTTTCCTCATGTCTGACTCCATTTGGCCTTGAGGATTCCATATGAGGGCTTGTCTTGTGACTCAGTTGGGTGCTTTCCTCAATATGTGTCCTATCCACTTCCACCACTTCTTCCTAATTTCTTCCTCCTATGGGATCTGGTTTGTTCTCTCCTACAATAGGTTATTGCTGAACGTGTCCGGCCAACGGATCCGAAGTATTTTGAGTAGACAACTGTTAATAAACACGTGCGTTTTCTGTATGATGGCTTTCGTAGTTCTCCAAGTTTCTTTCCTATACATTAGAACTGTCTTGATAGTTGTATTGAAAATTTCGACTTTAGTGTTGGCAGTTGACAGTTGTTTTGAGTTTCAGAAAGAAAAAAAGAGAAACTTAATTTTATTACTTAAATAATGTTCAGAAACCTAAGTTGGATGTAAATATAAATGTAAATCAATAACTATTACATCATTATCAGGATATACGACTTATTTTAAGTTAAAATTAGATATGAATTATGAAATTTATTCCATTCTAAACTACTACTGTCACTATTTCTACGTTTATTCATTTTCTCAAACTGTTAAATGTCAAAATATAATATTTTAACAGTTATTATTACTATTATACCACCCAAATAATAATATTTCTCTATTATTAATGCTTTGTTTCCAACTCACTATTCTAATGGTTATATCTACCGTTACTTCATGTGAACCATATAAAAAAGGAACAAAACTAAATCAATAAGTTATATTATTTGGTTGTCTTTTTTTTATTGTTTCAAAAAAAACGTTACTGTATGTGTAAATCAAAGAACCTTTATGTTTTATAATAAAACGATAGACATTTTTATCTATGAAAAATGAATTCTTTCAATGGTTGTTTCTTGTGACAGGAAATGTCATATATATATATATATATATATATATATATATATATACATATATATATGTACCCATGTATCACCCAAGTAGGCCATTAAATTTATGACAGAAAATTCATTTCAGTTACTTATTGAATGATAAATTGTATTTATTATTATGACTGTATTTTTTTGTTGTTGTAAATTTGCTTGTTGTAATCAGTCTAATGTAAATCACTAACAACTAACTAGTTAATAATCAGAAGAGATTTTGTGAAGATTTTTAGTCATTTCAATAGTTGAAATCATAAGGAGTCCCATACTAGGATGAAATAGTCGTCCAGTGCTCCCAGGTTTTCCATGAATAATATGACTAGTTAATGTTAGAAAACATAATAGGTTATCAAATGACTCTTGATAAACACAATCAATATATATACAAACTCAACTGTGATACTTTTCGTAATCAAATTTGTTGTGATTTCTATAGTCATCCATTCATTTATGGATTGATATGATAAATTTCTTTATCTAATATATAAGGGCTATATTTTGTAAGTATTTTAAAGGTTTTATACATTTATTTGTTTAACTAATCAATTTCATTCTATTATCTTTCAATGAAACTGAATGAATTTATATAAGTGAAAACAGGTTTTATGGTTAAATTTATGATTTATTTGCCCCCGTTATTATAATAATCCTTTTTGTCTAAAATGTCTTTTATGTCTGGATTGATATTTAATAATGTCTTCCAAATTACTAAGAGTTAACTGTTCTAGCGAATAATATATTGTAGCTATGTTTTCCTGGATTTCTAGTGAGAAGCCGTGACCAGTGGAGTTCAACTGGGTCTGTTGTGAGATAGTAAATCACTGAAGACAATGGTGGATGGCAGTGATGCAATTTCGTGAATTGGTTGAAATTAGACATTAACACCGTTGAATACTCTCCAGCCCAGTGGTCTAGAGGTTAAGCGTTCATGCGCGAGACCAATAGGTCCTCGGTTGGGATCTCACGAGGCAGGATCATGGATGCACACTGCTTAGCAGTCCCATACTAGGACGAGACAACCATCCAGTACTTCGAGGTTTTCCATGATGGTCTAACTTCAATAGAATCATAAATTCAACTATAAAATTCTTAAAGCCTTTTATCTTAGAAAAATAGTTATCTTGTGAAACATTGTCACAAATCAAAATTGTTCTGGAAACAATTCAAATTACTTTTTTTGAAAAGTACTTTATTTGTAACGATACTAAGTAACTTGTTTGAAATGTCATAGTCACAATGTAATGAGATAACCGTATATCAATAATTTATACAGTAGGAAATATAAACCGTTAGTCCTCTCATGATTTACATTATCTGATAATTATGTTTAATATCGATGGATAAGACATGAATCTTATATAACTTTAATATGCCTGATATTTTAGTCGACTTAATGTATTAATAACACAGAAACAATTAGACTAGTCTGATCATCTTTATTGACATTAAAATATGCAAAAAAAACATTTGTGACTTAATCGACGCACACAGTGGCATTTAAAACTATATAACGATTTATCAGAAGGTCAACTAAATTGTTTTGGAAAGATATAAATACTTTTTTGGATTCAAGACGATTTAGATTCGTTCAACTTAGATCTTGACGCTTGATTGTAATTTACGTAGTGTAATATAACTCTTTTAGACAAAAAAAATAAAGATATAAATGTAAATCTTTTAACATTTTTACCCATATTTTAGATATATATAACCAGTTATAGTAGCGATATAGTTCTCTTTTTCATAAGCAACAGATATATTTTTCATTCAATAAACCATATCTGTATATTCTATTGAAATAAATGTCATTAGTTACTCTTTGGGGAAAAAAAACGTTACTATGGTTACATGATAATTTATTCATTGTTTGAGGGCAACTAGATATTGTATCTTTTATTTTACGATATCATATTAGAAACAATTATTCTATTACTGTTTAAATCAACTTACTAATCATATACTGGTTTAAGACGAATATTCAGTTTTAAGGTAATAACTTTTATATAAAATTTCCTATTTCTATGATAAAATGT